CTATATATTCATACTGCATTGTTCGAGAAGGAAGAAGAAGTCTCACTGCTTTATTGGGATTGACTTGTATTAATAAACCAGAATAATAATAATAAAAATTCAAAAAATAAAAACCCAGAAAGTAGTAGAGGGAAAAGGGAAAAAAAGAAAGAGAAGACAAAGAAGAGAACAGAGAAGAAAACAGAGAAGAGAAAAGAGAAGAAAACAGAGAAGAATATGGCGAAGAAATCGTAGTGAGTAGTGATTAGTGTCTAGATAGATAGTCATAAACTACCAGGAGACCGTCAAACATGACAGTCTCAGAGTCTTTCCACTCTGAAGGTCTCCAGTATCTTAGAGACTTCCTTATTCAAGACCCTTATTAGAGTCTCCTTAATCCCACAGCATTCCTAATGACCCTCTTTCAGCTTACAGCTTCCCTCATCTTACCCTATTCGGGATATCCTATATATAGTCTTCCTCATACAGTCTGAGACCCCTTGTCTCAAAGCCTCCCCACACAAAGGCATTGTAGGAATACTAGTCTAGTATTCGTGTACAAACTAAACACTCAAATTTTACATGCAAAGACCCCTCTTGTATGTTTTAATAGAGACTTGATGCTCTCCCACCTCCAATTGAGGGTGGCTCTAAAAATGACCGTCTGTAGCTGGATGGTTGCCCCTCCGGGACGAGGAACGTGTATGATGCTTTTAGACATGAGTGTCATTGTAGAGACCTAAGTCTTCAACGTGGGTGTGAATGGTAGTGCGATTCGATTTCTTTATAATTAAAGAGAAGATTATATGTCAAGGGTGCTCAGGAGAGAGTCTCTGAGAGGGTCTCTAGGTACAGTAAAATGGGTCATGATATTGGAGAAGGATTCAAACAGCTTCAGACCCTCTTCTTATGTATCTGGTGAGGGTTTATGGTAGAAGTAAAGAGCAGATGACCTCCATTGACTGTCATTGATTCACTAGCCAGGACTGGTGTCCATAATAAAGGGCTAGAGGTCCTTAAAGTGTCAGAGAAGACACTACCTATCTACTACCCCTCACTACAACTAATCTTGAGAGTTTACATCGTTCTCTCATACTCTAGAGGTCTCTTCTTGATAAAATGATCGCTCAACAGTGAAGCAAAAGAGACTGTTGGTGCCAAGGTCATTTGGCGTTGAGTTTCCTATCCTTGAGATGATCGCTTTGACGACACTTCTGTGGTTGAGGCTCTATCAGTATCTCCAGAATGACAGAGGGTCAGAGAGGGTCATTTTCGCGAATCGGGTCACCTTGAAACAGACAGTCATAGTTTGCGATGTGCGATAGATTGTTTGTCCGTCGCTGACTGTTGACGAATTTTAAGTATGGTATTAAATGGGTGTTCTGCTGGTAGAGCTATAAGAGAATCTTTAATTTAGTTTCTGCCATCTCTACGCCGCCATTTAGAGTCCTTTGGTTGCTCTGATTCGTGGAAGTCATTATTTTTCATCTCGCTGCGTTATACTTTAGTTAAGGGACTCATTAAACACACTCATGGGTCTACAAGACACTCTCAGGGGTAATTATATGGCCCGTGCACGACAGCTAGGGAGCTGTTAGCCAAGAGTGTATATAGCGGAGCAGAACACCCCTAAGGGTCTTCATAGAGGGTTGGGGTTAAATGGTCATCTTCATTCGACCCCTAATAGATATCTTATAGTAGCAAAGCTCCTATTTACTCTTTATCACTCTACCCATGACTTGGTTCTAGGGCACTTCAGTTATTGGTTAGGGTTAAGGGGTTATGATGAGGGTTAAGGATAGGGTAAGGGTTATGTGTATTTGTATATATAAATATAGGTTTATTATCTATCTGGACTTGTAGTCAAATTTAAACACACTGCTATCCAGAGTCTCATAGAGATGTATATGGGCCATCATTGCCATAAGGAAGAAAGAATAAGAATACATACTGACCCTAAGATATGTGATGAGGACCAGGAATTAACTGATAATCGATTTAATAAGTCTAGGCTATAATGAAAGATATTTCAGCTTCCCATGCCCAGTAGTGACCGATTCATACACTTAAAACACCCTCTTGTACTGTCGAGGTATTTCAAAGAATATTGGCATTTGGTATTTTGATTGGAATTCTAAATCCATACGCAAAGACTAGAGTCTCTTGGTCTATTAGAAAACAGATCGCCGATTGTTGGTGAAGACCCGCGAATTTAAGCTATGTAAATGAGGGACGAATGCCAGGAGACGCGTCTGACCATTCTTTAGGAAACCCAGCAGTACCTCTCTGCAATTACTCTTCCTCTAAGAATCCTCTTGAACTTTTAGCTGACAGGACCATGTTCAGCAAGTATGTGTCCTCCCCTCCATCCCCAACCAATTTAAAGCAACGCCAGACTCGTATCCTCTGCTCTGGATATTTGGGTGTGGTTATCTCGTAGAAGCCCTTGCTAAAGCTTGTAAGATATAGCGCCAGATGAGTGTAGTCTCATTAGTGCCCATGCAACCTCTTCGTAAGACTCTCCTTAATCATAGTAGTCATCCTCAGACTCTTCAACGCCCAAAATCTCCGAATAGCTCTCAGGAACTCAATCTAAATTCAGAATGACAGTGGTAAGTGAAGGGTGGACTTCCCGGGCCAACTCGGCGAGTTTGTTAGCCAAGGCGGGCGACATGGACTTGTCCAATGGTCTTTTACCCCCACTTTGGATAGCCTCAAGGTCTTTGACAAGATGGAACTCAGAGTCTTTAACAACAAGGAACACATAGTAGAGATAGAGGATATCTTCTATGGTAAATTCCTGGTCTGATTCCTCGAGGTTTACTGTTGAGAAATAAATTCTGGACGCCAGCATGGAGAAGAGAGTGTACCTTACGGCGGGGATGGCAAGACGAAGAAGATAAGTAAGCGCTTCGTTCGTGTCACCTAATTTGTCTCCGCCCTTAAGAATATGGGAGAGTTTGGAGCGGTTTGTGGTATGGGACTCAATGGTGCTGGGTTTCCAAATACTATACAACCCTCTTTGGACCGATCTACATTCGGCCAGCGTAAGGGGTCTTAGCTGGAATTCGGGAAGATTGTCTAGGGTGCGCATTGGATTAAGACCTTTCCACACCACGCTTTTGGTCATTACATCCCATGCTTGTAGCTTGTTTTGGGCCATAGACCCTCGACCCGATAGCTGATAGATTCCCAGGATGACTTCAATGAGCGCATTGCTCATGGCGCGGACGCGTTCAAAGAGGCGTATGTCGTCACCATCATTGCTGAATTCGAGTTTCGAGGCGCATGAAAGACTCTCTGTAGGGAAAGGGCTACAGCAACCGCTCTGAATTAGTGTGAAGATTTCCTCCCTCAAATTCTTGTCCGACTCCCTTGCAAACAGGCGTTCGAAGGTGATGCTCGTCAACTCGCAATACTCATCGCAGCTGAGGTGCTTAATGCTATCAAAGTGGGTGTCTGCGACTGCCTTGGCCCTTTTTGCTGTGGGTGATGATGAGGTTGGCGGTTCTTTCCGAATCTTAGCGTTTTGGGGCTCTGATCGATTCACTAGCTCTGAAGAGTTTCCTTGACTCTCTACCTCCTTATTTTTGAGGTTCTTTGCTATCACGTTTCTCAAGACCTTCATACATTCTCGTTGTTGGGGTTTAATTGGTGATGACATGATGCTAGACGACTGGTTTTGGCAGTGTAGAGGACTGTCTTGGCCATTGAGGATACGGGTTATTACCGTAGATGGTCTTATGTCGACATAGCTTGAACGGAGTCTTATTCAGAAACCTTTAATAGGGCCTTGACAAATGCCTAGATCGTATTCCGGCAAAGAGTTTGTCGACGAAGAGTAGGTATCTTGGTGAAGAGTGAAGAGTGTCTCACTGAGGAGAGTGTTAGCGAAGGTATCTTCTGGGATCACATTTGGCTAATGTGCAGTGGCATGAGGAATGAAATAGATGTTTCAATGAAGATGGGAAATTCAGTTCATCGGGCCGGCTTGAGAAAAACTATATTTTATATTCCCAAGCTTATCTGAACATCTTATCTACCTCCTAAGTACATGTATGTAGGCACCTGCCTAGGTACCTATCTAATCAAAGGGCAATCGTAATTTGAGTAAATAGGGCAGTGGGAAGCTAATCCCCGGAACTTACGATACACTACTGCCCCTATTATTTCGTTCTGTCAACTTTTCCTGTCAATTATAATCAACAATCACATCCAACTATTTTCATGAAGAAGATTCTGTATTTGAAAAAGGCACATGGGTATATCGGGTAACTTTAAAAGTGACGAAGAATGAGCTGATGATTATAGGAGCAGATGAGATATGTCAGGAGTCTAGTGGCTGAAGCTACTAGGGGGTTTATTAGAGCCATCAGGGACTTTACAGCCAGGACAAAGGAGGCTCGTGTATATGGACCCGGGACCTGCTCGTGGCCGCTAGCTCGTAGATAGGACCCTTCGTGCCACAACATAGTTCCTTCTCATGCTTCTAATGTCTGCATTGTGATAAAGAGATATAGATAGATACCAGGTAGGTAGGCAGGAAGGTACCTAGATAGATTGAATTGGAAATTTAATAGTTACCTAGGTACTGTCTAGGCAGCTATGTCTTAGACAATCAGCTCACGTTTAGCACTTAATACTCTATTAATCAGGCACAAGCCGACTTCAAATGCCAGCAAGCATAGGTATGAGACAGCGTCATATAGACTTAATCAAAGGAATCATTGATCGCTCTTTGAACAGGCTGAATGCCATGGTTAATGAAATATATAGTGACTCCAACACAGAATCCCCCAGCAGAAATAGGTACCTAGGCATTTACAGTTTTAGCTATGACATATCTACGTCATTAGAAGCTACCATATCCACCCAAAGTTCCTACGACTACATACGTCGTACCGGGAGGTAAGAATGGCGAGAAAAATGAATAGACACCTCTAAAACACTCCAGCTATCATCCCAATGATATATTAGCATGACTGACAGTGAATGAAAGCAGCAAAAATGGATTAAAATGGGGCCACCTGCGTGATTCGAACACGCGTACCCGGATCTCGGGTAACGCAAGGCTACACAAATCGGACTCCGGTAAGTTAACCACTACTTCAAGGTGGCTTTTATTTGCTAAGGATCGAAGACAACCATTGAGCCATCTGGCTTAGGCTTCCTGCTGGTTGTTGGAAAACCTATCCCTAATGTAATTCTTGTAGGCTTTGTAGGTCTCCAGGTAGAACGGCAGGAATTAGGCCACCGTCGGAAGTACCTCGACGGGCGATGTCATATATACCATTATGGGAAGGGGCTAAAAGGTAATTCTCCATAATGAGGTCTCACGGGACCGTGAACTCCACCAGCTCCGTAAGTCGGGTTACACGTACATGGGTAGGTTTGGCACTTACCAGGGTGATATAGTTTTGTGATACGTGACTGGGGGGACATCATGACCTGTTATGTGTGGTCATTCATCTAAAGATCAACTAACAATTTGAAACTTGCTCACAGTTGGCTTCATCGATATACTCTCACGTAGAAAAAGCTTAGCTAAGTCATCTGGTACCCCCTATCTCTTGTCTATCTTAGTGGACTTTCAATTTATTGTGTACAAAGATCAATTTCCTAGCCTTTTACTCAGACCCATGATAACAAGACAAAGGATCATTCACAAATCATCAATATAGCCCCTTTGTCTCTGCCTGTTTGTGTGAAAGCGAGAGGCGTGAAAAGCGTGACAATTCTGCTCAAACGTGTAGCCTAGATTGCCTTTCTTCCTGATTGTCAAATCTACATTGGACAAGCTGAAAAGTAGTCCTTCGTTTCCCTGTGAGTGCCTCCCGTTTGCTATTGTTTAGGTAGGTAACCAAGACTTTTCTATGCAATTCTCAAATCTCGGTTTGAAAAGATCATCAGCTAATCCCTCTATTAATCATCTAGCCCATCGACTGTTATTCGTAGGAATTTCAAAAGAAAGACAGGTCTCAGAGAGATTGGCAACCCAACCCCAAAGTAAAAGTTAGCCATCAGATTCTATAATCCATTAGGTAGCGAATTACTTTCCAAACAGAAACCGCCATGTCAGCTTCCGAGTCGTCAGGGCCGCAGCTTTCTCCCTTCGATCCGAACGAAGACCAGTATCGACAGGCACGATCGAATTGTGCCAGGATCTGCGCCGAATATAACGCCCTGGACGAACGCACAAGCACTTTAACAAGAGAGCGCAAATTGTTGGAGATCATTCCGCCCAGGCATACCTTTGGAAAGTCGTTGACTTTTGCCCCCAAGGTCCAGCCGCCGTTTCATGTGGACTACGGCCGCGACGTCTCCATCCATCATACGACGATCATCAGCAGCAACTGTAAGATCGTTGACACGCCCGTCGCTTCCATCACAATTGGGAGGTACTGTTGGATCGGTCCTAACGTCACCATCTCCTCCATGGGTCCTCCTCTCAGGCCAGTGGACCCCAATGCCCGCGCCTCGGGAATTTGGGATGCTTCGGGCTCATCGATCACCATCGGCGACTGCGTCTGGATTGGTGCTTCGGCCGTAATAGGTCCCGGCATCACGATAGGAGAAAATGCTAAGATCATGGTAGGCGCAGTGGTGTTAGACGATGTTCCTGAAAACGCCCTAGTCGCTGGCAATCCAGCGGTGGTTATGATGGAAGAGACTGAGGAATGATTATTAGGAGAACGGCAGGAAGAGGAATGCGATTCTGTTAGTCAGTACCAATTCTTCTCCTATCCTTCGGCTACCAGGTGCCATGTCGAAGATAGGTACCTGTGTAGGAGGAATATTTGGTAAATCTTCCTACAAGAAGATCACCTACGATGAGGATGTATTAGTAACTACAACGATCCTCGTTTAATTGATCCTTGCTTTCTATTCCATGGGAGAGACATAGTGGGTGCATGCCTTTTTGAACCCAAGTACCCCTGAAAGATGTTAGATTGTGAACTATTCCGTCTATGCGGTAATTTATTCGCTTCGCGCTACCTACATTTAACTGCGATAAATGTGCCGTCCGTCCAAACCTTCAGCCCGCCCCCTTTTCATGTCTAGTACAGTAGAAATAGCCTCAGTCAAACCACTCTCGGCATTGGTCTGCCTCATAGGAGATATCAAATCATGCGTAGATAGCCTATACATCTGGTGGAAGGTGGCGTTGGCTCTGCTTCGACTTCTGAGCATTATCGTAGAACTTTCTGACTATGTCGACATATTTGAGTGCAGTTGCGTCAGAGCCCCCTGTGGACATCAATCAGTGAACTGCATATCCCTAAGACAACCTCGTAGACGTACCTGCGTACCTATTCACTGATAAAATATGCAAATTCATCTGTTCCCATGATGCTAACGTCCACGACGGAGGTGCATATCACATCTATATCCAAGGTCAGTCTTCTTACAGCGCACATGTGTTATGTATAGGTAGATACTCACAACCTAGCACGCTCTTATATGAACTGCTGAAACCTTTCCCGGCGAAATTATACCGCCAGAGCTATCACCCTTTATCGGCTTATGATGAAGATATTTTTAAAAGGGGGAGGGGGGGTCTATAATTGTGAGCATACCATGACGTCCAAGCGTATAACAGTGCCAGACGATTCTCTTCTTGGATGTTTATGTTAGGGTATAGCTTCTATCAAAGGGGGCAGAAATTATACCTGCCTTCTGGAGAATGTCGAGGGCCAGTCTAACCACCCTTTTTACCTAGGCAGCTTCTAGATCTCTTCTGGTCCCTAATACATTCATAGCTCGACCTAGTGTGACTAGTTATTAGTTAAACAGTCGTTTTAATCATGTAGGCAATAGATATTTATTATTACAAGCTAATAATATTTATGCAGCAATTTCTACACGATGCCGCCGATGAGGTAGCGCCACACAGGCCATAACTGGAAGCGCTTTCATTCTTCTAATGCGACATACAAGAGGCAAGTGTAGCAGAGCAGCACTGCCAATTTGGTAAATTGAGTTCAATCAGAACTCATGAGAAAGTTCGTCTTAGGTAAGGTACGGTTTGGTAGGTTCTGGCTGTGGGAAGTCGCGACATAATGACATCCCTGGTTCAAGCTCGCATGTCCGCTGGTATCAATCCGCCTGTGGACTTCCCTCATTACATCAACCAATTCAACCTCATTAAGTAATCCTTCAAAATAGATTATACCGGCCTATCCTTATTTCACTCCACCATGGTCTCAGGCGGAGATCAAAGCCAAGAAGCGCGCCCTGAAAGAGTTTGCTCAGCGTGTTTCGAACGCAAACCAGATGTGCGGATCATAGGTTGCGGGTGTTATTACTGTCGATCCTGCTTACAGGACTGGTTTCAGTCCGCTCTACGGGACAGGTCATCGGGGCTGCCAAGTTGCCACGACATTCCGCTCAGCGAAGAAGATGCCGCCTGGACGCAGGACGACGACATCTTCCAACGTTATCGATTATGGCTACACGGGCCTGATGGCATCTTGGAGCAGAACCTTATCTCCTGCGCGAATCCAGAATGTCAGACGACGATCGAGCTTACTGCCGGATGCGACGATGTGCTCGCCTGTCCCCAATGCGAAAAGCTCACCTGCAGAAAGTGCCTACGGTCTCACCCCCCTGATGAGACAGGGTGCGATAAACCCGATTCCGACCTCGAGAAGCTCCGCCTAAAAAAAGGGTGGGCGAAGTGCCCCCATTGCGCCCGCGTCATCTTACGTGTGGAAGGATGCAATCATATCATTTGTAGATGCGGTAAATCCTTCTGCTATCATTGTGGCGCGATATGGGGAGCATGCGGCTGTGATGCATATACTCGTTGGCCGCCGCGGGATTCCGACTCTTCGTCTTCTGAAGATGGTTCAGAGAACGAAGCACCTCGAAAAAAAGACGAGCGCCGCCATTTAACTTCGGCGTAGGATCTGGAGCTATCTCAACCGCAGCCGTCGAACATGCAACTAGAGAGGAGGTCACCACTAGAGGAATTTTTTCCGCCTCTCCATCCTCCGACGCAAAGCTTTCCAACGCCACTACGTAGTCAAGCCCCCCAAAGGTCGTTATTAGACAGGCTAGATGCAATGGATCGAGTAATAACGGCGCTGATCGAGGGGAGAGAGCCGGAGGCCCAAGTTATGACGGAGGCGCAAGGCGAACAATCGCGCAGTCTTCCAAGTTCCAATCTGCCTAGTCCTCGTCCACGTCTGTATCCCCATGGTCACCTTCATCCCCCTCTCCTTCCCCCTCTTCGTCCACCACCACCTCCTCCCTCTGCCAATCCTTTTCTCCCTCCTTCTCTTCCTCCTTCCACTCGCCCTCCTTTTCCCCTTCGTCCTCGTCCTACCAATGCTCGACCAGCTTCTAACTCTCCCAATATCATTCTCGAACCTGATCCTAGTCAGAGTCTCCCACAGTCTCCTCAAGAGGAAGAACCTCCTCCTCCCTAGACACCATGACATCAATATCTTTCTGTTGCGCCGCGCTAGGTCTGGGACTCCAGAGGGAGACATATACGACTAAGTGCTTCACCATGATGGCGGGAATGGAACCCGACTTACCGACTCCGATATATATATCGACAAACCAGCGTTATTCTTTTCTCTATAGCTAAGCGTCGAAACGAGCGTTGTTTTAGGAAATGATAGCTAGTTACCTAGGTACATGATGTAATTTCGAGCATTCGATATAGCCAGCTGCGCCCCTTTCCGACAGCCGGTTTATCGTGCCCTGATTGAAACGTAAAAGTTATGAAACGGGTTTTCAATCGCTACGCCCGGTGCCTTCATCTTCTATGCGAGGTGATTAAATCTTCGCATCTATTTCCACAGGTCTGTTGTGGTAAGCAAACATCACCGAAAGCTATCGCAAACACAAGTTGTGGACGCGCGCTCAGCAGTTTAGGTAAGACCTAAATGAAATGAGAGTGGAGGCCATATGTGAGCCTCTTGGATATCGCAGTCATGGAAATAACACATGTTGACATCTGTTCTGTAAGACCATGATACCTTTTGATCTGTACATCATCAACTATCAGGTTCTAGTCACGGCTTACTTGCATGTTGGTGCTTACTACCTCCACTGAATACTTAGCCCAGGAGAAATTCCAAAGTACTTTGAGTTACTGTCTACTAGAG